AAATTAAAAGCTCTCTGGTGCATTGTCCTGTGATAATAAATTAATAACTGACCAAACAATGTGTACAACCCCACTGCAGAAAAATATATATACAACATAACGAAACCCAAGCCAAAGTTTAACTGCGAACGATCATCAAATCTCTATACTTTCAGAGTTCATTTCTTCTTATTCACGGACTCTTGTGCTAAGTAATTTTGCATGTTATTCATGTACCTATTGAGTATATGAAGGAAAAGGAAACTTTAACAGATGGAGTAACATTTTATTTACAAATATCAGATAAGATTTCATGGTATTTTAGGTAAGCTCTCCCATTCAACGCATCAGTACCAATATGTATTCTGATGTAAAATGAAATAAGGATTCTTGCAGATTAGGTTAAGTCGAGCAATTTCAAATTGCAATATGCAACAAGCTCAGATCCCCCTGATACATTGAAAGAGGTGCTGTTCAGCAATGAACTGAACAGAAAAAATAATGTTAGCATCACCCAGTAATAGACTAAAGAGAGTCCCAAAATGCAGACCCAGTTGCTCCTCTAGAGCCGAAGTAGTATTAAGCAAGTATGAATTGGACAGGAAGCTGACACAATTTCGAACTGTTTTCCACAATTGCAACCTCTTCTACTAAAATCAATAATCAGAAATAAGTATAACAAATAAGCAAATCCTACCATCAAGTCATGCAAAGCTACACGGTCCCTAAAAGCAAGCTCAATTAACAGAAGCAGATTCAGTATTTTCATTAATATCAACATGAAAACCCCAATCACATCTTGAAATGGACCAGAAAACGAGAACCCCAATCACCAAACCCCTAAAAGCAAACTAGTTAATAGAAGCAGATTCAGTACTTTCATCAACAGAGATAGGATTTAGCTAATCGGAATTGAAACCNAAAAAACAGAAACGTACTACGAAATGAGAGAGATGGACGATTGTCCACGCCATGCCCGGAGAGCAACCGAAGACAGAAAGCACGACCAGCCATGAGAAGAACAGTATAAAGATGTAAATGGTCCACACGCCAGGATACGTGAACCACTCCGTGTTCCGATTCAGATCCGTCGTCGGCGCCGCCCGTACATACAAGTTCGCCATCCTTGCACGGATTCTAGATTGCAGATTTTTTGCTGTTTTAGCTTTGCCGTTGGAATAAATGACCGAAAATAATCATAGAGAATACCAAAGCGGAGGAGCGATTTATCAAAGGGGACCGAGCGAGAACATTCAATTTGGCTTGGATTTATCATTTAAGGTCCCTTCACCTATTTTGAGGATATAATAAGTAATTGAAATTAATTTACTCTGGTTATAAAAGCATCTCCAATGCAACTTTTGACATTATAAAAAGTTATTCATATCATCAACTTTTGAAAGTATATTTCTATTTTTTTCTCCAATGCATCTTGTCATGAACTCTTTCATGACTCATTTAATGTTGACAATGTTGAACACACTTTCTAATATCTAACACCATTTTAAACATGATGACTCATCGATTTACTTTATATTTATTTTAATTTTTTATTTTTTTGTATCAATGAATTATTTAATTGGTCCACCTATACAAATAACTTCTTATCAAATTGATGCATTGGAGATACTAGTTTCATTGAAATTTTTAGTCTTTTAACATTATTCCAATGTGGATTAACATTACAATCACTAATTGACATGTGTTAAAAATAATGGTCTTTCACACTTATAGTATTGGAGATGCTCTAAACTGGATATTATCAAAGCTTAATTCAACCATATCTATACTTATATAAAAAGCCATCCTATTTACTAGAAATAGTAGGCAGGAAAGTCAAAGGTAATTAATGTTTGCTGTAATCAGAATAAAATTAATTACAAATTTGTTTTGGTATTTATAAGCTTGACATTAAAGATTTGTTATGAGATAATCAAAACCAACTTTTTTTACATTTGCTGGAAAAGTCAAAGGTAAGTAAAGATTTTTTTTTATCCCATAACATTGGTTTAGTTAAAAAAAATCCCATAAAATCGGTTTTAATGTCAAGCCTATAAATAAAGATTTAATCGGTCAAATTAAATCTTTTATTAAATCATTTGTGGTTTGTTCAGATTTTAATTTATAAACATTTAATAGATATATATATAGTACGTTTTGTAATAAATTTAAATTAAATGTGTCACTTAGATATCTAGACAATTATAAATTCAAACGTTTAAACTAATTGATAAATAATTTATAAATTTCTTTTTAATTTAAATATTTAATTTTAAATATAACAAAATTTATTTAAAAAATCGTATCAATCCTACCAGTCCAACTGACTGATGTTGACAGATTCGAGAGCAAATATTTTATTCAAGCGAACTTGATTGGTTATAAACCGGTTCTCGGTCCATCCGGTCGGACTGTGTCCAATCCATTTTAATTTAAAAACAATGGATATATCATGATTAATGTTATTTATATATTTAATTTACAATACAATCGTAATATTGTTTTTCCGTGCATTTCGCACGGGCCACGCACTAGTTGCTAACAAAGGAATTTATTTTGTCTAAATTATTTATGTTATTTATTCCAAGTTTATTGTTTAAATATGACATACGATTGCATAAAAAATATTCTTATATTCTTTTTTTCAGATAATTTCTCTTTTATTAAAGCTAGATATTATCATTTTTCTAAATTTTTTATTTATCTATATTTTTCTTTTTTAACTCCGTATTATTAATAAAATTAAATATTATTCATTACGATAATATTTTGATGAAATTCAATATTTATCAATTCAAATATGTTTAAACATATAATTATTGTTTTACTATATTTATCTCACAACTTTAATTATTACATCTTATTTCATATTTATTCACAACCTTAAAAATAGTTGTAATTATCAACATAAGAATATACTTACATCACACCTTTATTTCTTCACATATTTTTTCTTAAAACAATAATTTTACCGAGTTCTATTTTAGGTCACACATAACAGTCATTTGAGAAATCAACAATGAAAGATTAAGAGAGGTATGTATGCCATTAGATAAACTCTAATTTAACATTATTTTCAAATACGACTTATATCACCGTTCAAATCCATAGAATATTATCAAAGCTTCAAAAGAAATACAACCAATAACCCGGCCAATACAAACTACATTGGCATCTAATGAATCGTAACACAAAGGTAAAAGGCTCACAAAGAACCAAACAGTTTAGATACAACACTATTTTACTAAGAGACCAACAACAAAAGGCATAAATGAACAACAATTTATATCAACGTCTACTAAAAGGAATTAACAATAGGCCCGAAGCCGCCCAACTCAATACTAATATTTTCTATATACCGGTAGCAATCCACCATCCTACCAAAAAAAAAGGGTAAATTTTACATCTACACAGCGAATTGAGTTTAATTGCAATCGTACCAGCAGATAAATTTTTATTGCATCATTACCAAATGAATGACATTTATTTGTGATAATGCAACATATCGGTTACCAAAATTAAAAAGATCATCCTTCCTTAATTTGCGGACATAATGGGATTTAGTTTTCGCATTAAAAGAAAAAGTACAAATATATGGTAAGTGTATATCCTAATATTTAGGATGTTGTTCAATTCAAAATTCATATATATATATATATATATATATAGGATGTGGTTCAAATGAGAACCAACTCCTAGCGTGAGAACCGTGAGAACCGCTTTTTTTAATTGTATGTAGTGCTATGATTGATTGTATTTAGTGCTATTTTTAATCAGGATGTATTTCATTAAAAATAGCAACTTAGCATTTGTAAAAATGATAGCACCATGTAAGATTAAAAATAGCATCATACACAATTAAAAATAGCATCAAATATGGTTCTCACGGTTCTCACACCAGAAAAGGTTTTTATTTGAACCACTCCCTATATATATATATATATATATATATTGAATTTCAAACATTATCACCTTTTAACGATACAGAAAGCAACAAGATGGAATATCATTATATCTTGATGATATAAGCCCGTAAAATATACGAATTATACCTGGTAATTTTTGTTTTTGAAATTCTCTTTTACTTATTTTTCGTGTTATTAACATCTCTTTTTTTTTCTGTATGTTTATTTGATATTTTCTGGTATAATGTGATATATACAAAACAAACCCGATATTTTTTTCTGTATATTTACAGTAAATTTCCTGGTTAAATATGATTTTTTTTTCTTTGTCGAAATCAAACTATTTTGATGAACTAATGCTGCAAAATATATACAATATATAAACATAGCATATACAATTTTGAAAACAACTACAGAGTTGCAAACTCGGGATATTGTAAGTATATTATTCATGTACATATACATAAGATATTCGTGTCATATACTTAATATGTAAACATCGCATATACACAGTCTTGAAAACAACTGTAAGTATATCATTCATGCACATATATAACATAATCAAGTTATATATGTAACATATACTTAACATAATCAAAAATTTCGATATATTTGCTTCTTGCGTTCGTCCTCCAGTATGTCCTTGTTGGGCCCCCAGATCACGCCCGCGGCCCCTTGCCCCGATTTGAAATCCTTGCTCGGACCTGTGACGACTCTATTCGCCCTCGCCTTCACAGTGAAGACATTCGCCTGAACGTGGCCGCTGGTGTTGGAGCCCCGATGGGTCTGCAAACTTATTCCGTTGTACATCGTTGGGTCTACAAAAATCGGTCAATTTCAATTATTGCACAGATCACAAGTGAAAAAACAAGAGAGAAGGAGGGGGAGAGGATAATGGGTCGTTGACAGAGGGAGAGAGAGATAAGGCGGTGAGATAACGAAAAGAAGATAGAGGGAAAGGAAGAGAGAGACGAAGAAGAGAGATAAGGAGAAAGAGGCGTGATTTGGGGGAGAGAAACTGATATGTTTCTTTAAAATATGTAAGTAATGCTTACATTAATTTCTGGTATATCTACAAATAAAAACATGATTTTAGGTAGAATTGCTAATATTTATAATAGTTGTTTAATCTTGTAATAAAAAACTGAAATTTATGGTGTAGGGAGTAATTTTCTCAAAAAAAAAAAACATGGGAATCAAATTCTATATATATATAAAGAGGAGCAACAAAGCATTTAATTTTATTAACATGCATTAAATTTTGTTCTCCCTCCAAAATTTTCATCATTCAATTTCATTTTTAAGTTACAAAATAACTTGCTTGAATGCCATAAATTATGAGCATAAACCGATCAATAGAGTTACAAAATTGTACTCAAATTTTAAGTCACACCCACTCATCAAAATGGCCGGGTTTATTAGCATAAAGAAAATGGTTGTAACGGCTCTTCTATAGCAATTATTTGATCAAAATCAATTTTGAGAATTATTTTTTTCAAGAATTAAATTATGATTTATTTTTGTTTTTTTTAAGATTTTTATGTTTTTAAAGTATTCGTCTCTGTGCAAATGCACATGTTGATTACTAGTATATATATATAATTACTAGCAATGCATTTAATAAAATTATTTCGTTTTGCGCCTTTTTCCGTTACAAAAATTATTATTAATATTTTTTCTAGCTTTCACATTAATAAACCCTACTAAATGCAATTATGCATTTTTTTTATTATATTATATGATAGTTAATGCTAATACCAATTAATAATAATTCAAACTAAATACAAATTACAAGTACAAACAATTCTATTGTTTCAAGCTATTTATTTTACAATCAATATTATCTTTTTTTTTATTTAGTATCCCATGAAACTATTTTATTTAAAAATAATTAGTAAATAGTTTTAATAGCATAGTCGAACAACTTTTAAATCTTATAAACAATTGTTATAATAATAATAAATAATAATATTTTTTTAAACTAAATTATTTGACCATGATCCATACAAATTATAAAAAATAAATTACCCACCAATTTTTTTAATCAACATACTGATCCATATGTACTCAAATAATTTATATTTATATTATTTTATTTTTACTAATGATTATTACCTAGAATTTTAATATTAAATTCGCACATATTACTTATAATATTTACGTAAATCTGTGCATGTGCACAGGATGATTACTAGTTATAATAAATTTGTAAAACCGTCATATACTAACTTATGAGTTTTATATTAAAATAAGTTTAGTTTATTAGGACAAGTTGATTAAAGAAATTGAAGCTTACCTCGTGAGTTTCCTTATGTAGCATTTAAAATAAGTTCTTTTAAATATTTATTTTAATTGACTTATCAGCTAAATTTTACGATAACTTTTAAATTATCAGCTAAATTGAAATTTATTTATGGCATCCACATCTCTATTCATCCATTTAATAAAAAACTACTCACTTTATAATTCACATCATCAATGTCTTAAACACCCTTCCACATTCATCATTAATGATTCATTTAAATATTGTGGGGTCCATTAAAAATTTAAAATATAAAAACTGAATATATATGGTAACCTTAAGGGCTCGCTTGTTTAAAAATAATTTGCTCACATTTATTTCGTACTTAAAATTTAACTTAACTTTAACTCAATCCCACTATCTTTAATATTATTCATATAATTAAATAATACAAACCAATAATTCTTACACATCACATCAACTTTAATTCACTCACATAAATTTAACTACCTATCATTTTCAATCATTTATCTTCTACTTTTACATCAAATTAATTTTAATGATTTTATTTTAAATTTTATTTTAATTTATCATTATATAAAAAGAATAACTTTTTTATAAATTTAGAAACTTTTTCCCGTCAAAATTATTAAATATATCCTAAATATGGTAATTGTTGGATAATTGTGAATAGGCACAAAAACCGGCTCTTTAATTGCATTGTTTTCTTAATTCCAACTTGCAACAATAAATCCGATTGGCTTTTGGTTTAAACTTTCCCACAAAAATCTCATATCATAAATGTACACGAGTTTATCTTTTATTTGTTATATTGCATACGTTTTTAAAAAATCTCATCTCTTATCTATAAAGATTTTAGAAAATAAAGTAAAATAAAAACCAATTCATAATTACTACTAGAAATCCATTATCTACTATAAAAGGCTAATTTTCATCGGTCTAAATACTAATATTTTTACAAATATTCGAGTTTATCTCTTATTTGTTATATTGCATACGTCTCACGATTTTAAAAAATCCCATCTCTTATCTATAAAGATTTTAAAAAATAAAATAAAATAAAAATAAATTCATAATTACTACTAGAAATCCATTATCACTTATCCAAAAAATCCAAACATTTTTAACTCAACCACTTTTTTTAACTCAACTTTAACTCAACCCAACTATCATTAATATTATTAATATAATTAAATAATATCAACCAATCATTCATACACATCACATCAATCTTAATTCACTATTCATCCACTCAAATAATTCTAACTAACCATCACTTCAAATCATCTCTCTCATACTTTTACATCAAATCAACTTTAATTATTTTATTTTAAATATTATTTTAATATACCCACTAACAACTAACCATACCACCTTTTTCAAAATCAATCAAACCAAACTAAAAAATCCAAACAAACCCAAAAATATTTATATCCAAGCATCCTCTAATTTTCATCGGTCTAATTACTAATATTTTTACAAATATTATAAGCTAACAATACATCCTCGATAATAACGTAAAAAAATATAATAACAATAGTGTGTAATCAAATATTTTTTTAGAAGTAACGCCATAAATTCGGTATTATTTGACATAATGTCTTTATTAAATTATGCTCATGATATTTTAGATACTTTAAACGAATTGTTTAAACATTTTTTTACATATTCGTCTATATATACATATACACATACATAATTGGTGTTAAGTTTAAATATTTGTAGACATGTTTTCCTTACAAAATAGTCTAGAAAAATCTTTTTTACGCCATGTTAAATTTAAATGATTTTAGATATGTTCCTTCTAATAGAAAAATTGTAGGTGACTTCACATCTTTAAAAAATAATATAGAAAATTTTGATTACTCTTACAAATACTAATATAATGTTTTAGGTGTTTTTAATATTAAACATACAAATTTTATCTTCTCTTATACAAAATAATATAAATTTTATATTCTCTTATACAAAATAATTTTACATTGTTTGACCCTGAATCTTTAATTTATAATTATTAAGTATTGTTTATCCTCCTCTTTAATTTATAATTATTTTTTTTCTTCCTCTTTTTAAATAAGATCAATGGTAATTTTCACTTCCGCTATTGAGTGACTCAAACTCGAGTCTATTTATAATATTGTTAATTTAATATGTTCTCGTGCATCGCACGGGGTACACACTAGTACATTCTTAAAACCCCACTAACAACTAACTATACCATATTTTTCAAAATTAACTTTACCAAAATAACTCATTTTGAACAAATTATTTAGTAAACAAGCGAGCCCTAAGAAGTATATTAATATTTTTAAGTTTGTTTGACCCCCAGTTTTGTGTTTAACGCCATTTAATAGAATGAATGACAAATAGAGGACCCATTTATTTTGCCATCAATCGAATAACATACATTGGCTAAATAAAAACTTNCACCATACAACAACAACAACAACATCAACAACAAACAAACCACCAAAAGGAAAAGCATAAAAAAAAAAAAAAAATTGATTAAATAAACTCAGAAACTAAACTTACACTATATACTAAAACCCAACCTCCTCTTAGCAGACTTACTCCTAAAACACCACACCTCAAAAGCCTCACTCAAATCCGGGTACCTCCCGCCATCACCACCCTCCATCCACTCTGCCAGAATCTCCGCCTGATCATCAGACGGCAATCCCGACACTATTGACACAATCGCCCCTTCCATCCCTTCCCACATATCCTCATCACCCTCCAACCACCCCTCATCCCTCAAACTCCTCACAAACGGCACCCACACCTTCAAAACCCTCACCCGACCCGCGGCCCGCAGGATAACACTCCCGTACCCCACCGCATCCAACACCCTATACACCACCCGCAAAATCCGGGCCCGAAAGCCCGGCCCAAGCCCGCGGGCCTCGACTGCCTTTAGAATCCTCTCCGACGAGTCGATCCACACGGAGACGAACTCGGCCATGAGGCCCATCTTTTGCGAGACTCCGCACATCCACTCGAGATCCGAGAGGCACCGAGTGATTCCTTCCTCGGAAGATTCCGCCAGCTGGCGCTCGAACGACGAGAGGGTTCCGGAAAGGCCCGTTCGGGCCTCGGATAAAATGTCAGGGTCGGAGGAGAGCGTGAACTCACTGTTAGCCAGCATGTATTCTACCTGTTCTTGGGCCGAGACCCGAGGCCCGTAACCGAGAGTGGGGCACGGACCGTCGGCTAATGTGGCGAATTGGATGGCTGAGATGAAAGCGTTTTTCGTGGGGGTTAGATCAGATGGTTCGGGTCTTGCTGGCACAGGCATTTTAGATTTTTGAAGTCACTTTGAAATTTGGTTGTGTGTAAAATGGTAGAAACTCATCTGGGGAAGCCCTGCTAGGTTTTGAGTATCAGAAGAAGAGAAAGGAAAAAAAATGGTTAGAATTAGATGAGTTCTTGATGACTATTGCCACACCTTGCAAAACGAACATACATGATACACCATCATTAATCATTTGAATAAAGTAGTAGGACTGCTGATGAGCTTTGAGATCAATGTAAATATGTAATACTAAGGTAAAAATTGTATAAGACAAGCAATTGGATAGCACGAAACTATGTATATTCGACGATTGTTGAGTAGTTTAAGGTGAAAATTGATTAATTAACCTAAATAATTATTTCTTTTCACCAATGGTGCTAGCAGACAGTACACACATAAACAATCAGACATTTAGCTTAAACTGGAAGTTAGATTACATACATAGAGTTCAAATAGCTTCTACGTTTGCTTGAATTGCAGAAACATAAATTATATCTTCAGCATATAAGCAAAGGTGTGCTAGCAAAACCCAGATTAAAAAAAAAAAGGATAAAAAGAAAGTAGTCTTCAGTCTTAACCTCTTTAACGTACACACATAAACAATCAGCATTTAGCTTAAATTGGCAGTTAGATTTCATACATAGAATTCAAATAGCTCCTACGTTGCTTGAATTGCAGAAACATTAACTATATCTTCAGCATAGAAACAAAGGTGTGCTAGCAAAAACCCAGATTTGAAAAAAAAAATAAAAAGAAAACAAAAAAGGGGTCTTCACCTATCATTAGATTGCAAAGGAAAATAAGCCAATTTTCCCCAACCAGAAGCCAACAATCACTGTTCTCAACACCGGAAGTACGCGTAAATTCGTAGATGAAACAATATTGCAGCAAACAGATAAAAGGTTAAAGGTAACTTTTTGTTTTTATTCTTCAAAAGAACAAAAGGGGGAGAGTATCTCACCTTGAATTTATTCACAATCCTGCCAGCAGAGTGACGTATCCAAACAGCTGACAAATGCTGACATAATAAGTGTTCAATAAGGGGATTCCAACTTGAAATCATTATCGCTTAGAAGAGAGTTGGAGGCGGCATAAAAAACCATCCATGATGTTCATGTGCTTCATTTCTGACATCATGTGATAGGTAATACAGACTAAAGGACAAAAACAAAAAAAAAAAATATTAGGAAAAAAACAATAAAAGGAAAATATGAAATATTAAGTTCATCAATAGATAAGAGCTTAAGTTTTTATCATTTGATTATGATCAACACCGGCTATGCTATACTGCATAACCTATTATACAAAATATCTCCCATTTTCTTTGTAGTTGATTTTTCTAATGCATTAGATATTTTAATCCACTTACATAATTTTATTAGGATTGCCAATTAAGTAAGTCAAGACATAATCAATGCAGTGATAACCAAAATACATTAATCATTGTGTGATTATACCAGTTACAAATGTTAAAATTTTTCATAATTAATGATTTTTTTTTAATATTTGACTTTTAAAAGAAAAAAGACAAAAACAGGATGAAGAAAAGAGAACTTGAGAAGAGCATTCAGTAACAAAAGCAAACAATGCAATGAAGGAAAGTTTTCTCGACTCAACATTTCTCCAAGTCAGTATGAGAACACCCCAAAAAGTAATACATGTTTCTACTGCTTCACACAAGGACAACATTTTCGATGCAAAGCAAAAAGCTTAATGAAAAGATCAACCCGAACAATGAACTTCTAAGGTATATGCAACTTTAAAACTATGTGCAATGCGTACTAATTAGCTCCACTTACAGTATCTATGCCAACACTTGCAATCATCTTCTCTATCATTATATAAATGTGGACTGGACATTGGAAAAAGCATCCAGATAAAGCCTAGCATTCCCACTAGAAAACCCACACTTACTATACCTGAAAACCACAAACAACAGAGAAAAACTAACCATTGTGGATGAAAGATGTAAACATGTGCGAAAGAGAATTTGGAGTTACTGACTAAAAGACACGTAAATTACAACTGAAAAAAATAACTACAACACCACATCAAGGTTTTGCCAAATTATGCAAAAAGAAAATAAAGAGAAGGAAAAAAAGAGACAGAAAACAAGATAAATCGATATGGGTATGGTGTTTAATAACATGATAGTTGCTATTTCCGTGAATAAAATTATCATCATCTACTTGCCTTTGACTTAAACATACATATAATATTACAAGGTATATGGAAATTATAGTACACCAACAAAGTCCTTTGCTCAAAAGCATCCTCACACACTGTGTTTGTGTTCAGTACCTTCTTCTCTAATGAGGACTGCTGCAATGGTCTCATCTCCAACAGAGATGTACAAGTACAAGGGAAAATGCGATTAACAAAAACAAATTTTGTTAAGAATAAAAACGCATATGCTAAATAAATGAACGAAAAAAAATTATTTCAATCAAATTTGTTAAAAAAAAAAAGTGCAATAGATCAATTAAACTTGAAAAAATTTCATCTAAATTTACATCAAGTTGTACACCATATGTTCCAAAATCAAGAAGAGACATGCTCTACTCTATTTTCTTTTTTAATTACGGCAAAAAAATTAGAAAAAAAAAAAATCATAGAAAAACATTAATAACAAGTAAAAGAAAGCACTGAATATGGGCATCAATTTTTCTCACCTCCAGATGAATCAAAAGAGTCCCCTCCTACGGCATAAACCGCTGCCAAGATGCATCATTCCGACATCAAGCGGGATCGAAGTGGTTAGATTATTGACCATAGGCTCGAAAATTACGGCAGCCACAGTTAGAGTTGAGCAATTGGAACCTCTTGATGCCGTAAAAATGCTTCCTCGTCGTTTTGCTCGAACATGAAAATTGGGAGTATTCTTTCTAGGATTTAGAACTTGATAGAACAGAGTGAAGTAAAATCCCAGGCATTAAAATCTAAAATGGGTAAGGGCAAAAAGGTCAGTACAATTTTTATAACACGTGTCAGCAGAATGAGAGGTCATCAAAGGAATAAAATATTATAATTTGCTACAGTGTAAGTAACTCCTTTTTATTAAATAAGAAGACTAGGAGGTTATGAGGTTATGGGCCGTGCAAAGCACGGCCGGCCCATGCTAGTTGTCTTATATAGATTTAAAGACACTGTCAATCCTTTTAAAAAAATTTATTCTTATTTTACTCCGCATTACCTTGTTTCCAATTCTACTCCATTTTATGATTAAAATGTCTCTTTAAAAGACCTATTTAACTTTTTGGATAACTGTTCCCACCTTTTTCTTTCTTTATCATATCTTTCTCCTACATTTTTTTCTATCTTTCTTCTCTCTCTCTCTCATACGTTTTCTTATTCTTCTATTCTATTTTCTTTTTGTTTGTTTTTTTCTCGCTGCTTTTATTCCGAAACAACACATCCCGGCGCCTCCGAATTCACCGGAAAGTTCGTTCTCCGTGTAGCCCTCAAATCCCTCAGTGCCCCCATTTCGCTCCTCAGATCCCTAGCCCTGGCTCCCCGCAACCCGTCGCAGTTGTCCAATGCTCTCTAGTGGGCTGCCGGCCCGAACCCACGACCTAAGATCCCCGTCTTCACGGCCGACACCTCGGACCTGAGCTCGCTCGCCTGCATCGCTTCCCAGGCGAGGATCGTGTTGAACTGCGTCGGCCTGTTCCGTTTCCAAGGATGACGATTCCCCTGCTGGTAATTTGATGATCAGTTGTACCATTTCCGTTTTTATTTTTTAAATGGGGTGCTTGATTTCCTTCAATTGGTTGGGTGATTTTGTGGAAATTAGTAATTTTGAACTTTTTTCTGTTTCTCATTTTTCTATTAAGGTTGTTCGAACTCGAAACCTTCTTCAATCTTTTTGGCATATCCTTCAAGATCATATTTCTATACGAATCGCGAAGGTTCCCGTGGAATTTTTGGGGTTATTATTGTTAATTTTTTTTGGGTTCATATTTATCTATTTTTGGGTGTTCTTTCTGATAGTAATTGTTCAAAAAGATCTCATCATTGTTGATGATGGATGCATTTTTTCTCTGTTAGGTATGTAAATGTCCAATTTTGGGTGAGCCCTTTTCGTATTTTGCTCATAATTATTTTTATATTTCTTGAAAGGAGTTATATTGTTGTATTGTTGTTACTTCACTGATATTTTAATGTTTACATATAATTGTTTTTATGTTGCTTCAAATGAGTTATATTGTTGTACTGGATGCCGTCGTCGCCTTCATCTGACGGCGGGGATCTCGCCGTCCACCAATTGATCCTGGGTACGCACACATCCGATGATTTCCCTAATTTCTCATGCTCGCTGACGCCGATCTCTCGAGAGATCCCTCCTCCACCATCGTAGTTGATCCTATTAAACCGTCCCCAAGGTATGAAGTTGAATAATTATGTGTATCTTGAATTTGCTGATTTTATGTCATGGTTGCTGTGTTTTGAATGTTTGATAATAACACTGAATGAATGCCTCTGTTTCGTATGTGTAATTACTGTTTTTTTTTTTTTTTTGATATTTTTAGTGGTATGTTAGAGTCTTTGTATGTTCTTGGTTTATAATTTAATGGTGCTTTGGACAAAGCAAATGCAATTTTGAGTCTAATCCAAAATTGTTACTTTTTGTTTGTTAATATAAAGTTGTTTTCATGTTGTTTTACTGATGCTATAATGTTGTTTTGTTGTTTCTTATTTTGTACGTTTTTCATAATATATATTATTAATTTTGTAAGTTACAAAATAAATATTTGTGTTTCTTTTTAGTTAATTTTATTAATTGTTATGTATTTGTATAATTAGCTGATCATTTTTATTGTTATTTTTTTGGTGTTGCAATTCTTAGGCTTCATTTTGAAAAGAAGAAGAAACAGAAGAAGAGAAGGGACACGTGAAAGAGATGAAGAAGAAAAAGGATAGAAGAAAAGGGAGAAGAGATGGAAACGTGAAAAGAATAATAAGAGAGAGAAGGAAGAAAGAGATAGAAAAGTGAATGAGAGAGAATAATTAATTATTAGGTTGATTGTGGAATTAGTTTTTTGTAACTTCCCATTCCCATTGTAACCGTTTATAAGAGTAATTTTGGAATTCTCCCAAAGAAGTATCTTTTTGGAAATGATTTTTAATAGGTGGTTATTTATGTCTTTTAGCCTCTTATATATTGGCTTGATGATTTCAATTCATTCACTTCAAAACACATTTATCTTTTGAATCAATTATAAGTGCAAATAAAAGAGGCCCTTGAATTGGTTGCTTATAATAAGAACACAATCAAAAGATTTGAAAATAAACCATACAATGGACAGAACAGACTAACAAGAAAAATTGGTATTATTAGAGGTTGATATTTATGCAAAGTAAAGAAAAGAAACCATACATATGCTATTAAGAAAAGAAACATTAAGCAAATTAATAAAAGTTGAGCCATATCTAAACAAGCATGCCAATAGAGGAAGTGAAATTGAAAGATGCACCCAACTCTAGATGCACTTTGTATGGATTGTCAAAAATATTAGAATTCAGAGATGACACTTGAAGTTCAATAAAATATCAGGAAAACAAAAAACAAAAAAAAAAAAAAGAAACAATCAAGGATGTAGTTTATTTTCTTATTTTTAGTTACAGTATATATGAAGTAATAAAATAAAATTATTTAATTACTTTTAGTTACAGTATAAATGCAAGAAATAAAATAAAAATTTGGAGACTGCTGGAAAGGAATAATGGCTTCAAAATGATGTATCATGGCTCTCTTGGATCATCAATCCTATGAATTTCGTTAAAACATCAATCTACATGGACATAGTTGAAACTTAAATGAAGAATACACAAGCTACATAAACGAGTATTTAAACATTCCATTCATCATATATGTTGAGAGCTGCCTATTCAAATCAAAATTCTCATGGTAAGATGTGCTCTAATGATGGGTATGTATCTTAAGTGCAAGGAAAATAAAGTGCATTCAAACCAAAGTGTCAAAGTCATGAAGTACGATAAACAATAAACGATAAGTTCTAAATAATCCAAAGTAATGTTCCTCTAAAATAACCAATCATACATAAAAACACCAAATAGGTTCAAAAGTTACTACCACGCCGTCCCCGAGTCCCGATGCCAATTCCTCAACCTGAAATGATTAAATAAGGTTGAGTACGGAACGACTCAATGGGAAACATAATGTGAAATTATTCAAGTTAATAACGAATATCACAATCATCATGTGCACGTAATAAATAACTTGCCCGAAGGCCTAACATCAACTTTTGCCCGAAGGCCTGAATATTTGCCCGAAGGCGATGGCTAATAGGTGTGACTAAATCAATGCAAGTCACCAAGCCAATCTCCTATTTCCTTCTCAAACAAGTTGTTAGGTGATTTTCCTATTCCTAACAAATCTTATAATAAAAACCAAATACAAATATAATCCATGGATTTTAAATTCATAAATCAATTATTACGAATGCTTTCAGAGATCTCTTATTTTGTGTTTATAAATCTAAGGCTTCATCCATTCAAAATTTAGGCCGGTATCTCTTTGAAACTCATAATTTTCTTGAAATTATATGAGACTTTACACTAAGTGCACATGTAAGAATAATAACTTGCAGATATAAACCAAAATAAAATTGTTAACCAAACAACATTGCAGCTAGAGAAGCTAGAGAAATTGCATGTGAAGAAAAAAATTATTCATCTTAAGATATAATATTTTGTAATAAGCTTAAAAGAGCTAATTCAAAATCATCTCAACCATTTAGCTTATTATAATGCTCTCATTTCTGTTTAGAAAAAAGTTAGCACCTAAAGTGGGAGTAATCGGAAAACTGTTCAAGTTATATGTTATATGAGCTAATATTGTTGGCTCTTCCTGTTTTTTTCTATCTCCAGAATATGGCACCTCTCATAACCAAAAAACAATAGCTACGTGTTTGGATGCATGTATTTTATCCTATGAAAAAGTGTTTTATTTTTCTTTTAAGAAAATTTCATGAAACACAGCTTGTTGATACATGATGATAATGAGAATTTTAAATTTTAATCTTTTGAAATGGAGCTGAAGATAAACTATTCCTATATTTTGAATTGAAGTTATAAAGTATGAGCTATAAAGTTCCAAATCGAAGACACACACTGGAAAATATAATCTAAAGTATCTGGCCGTACACAGCACGACCGGGCCTATTGACATGTGGAGTTAATTCCCATATCAGATTTAGAAGTTGAGTTAATGTGTAAAAATAGAATAAGTGCATGTTCACAAATCTTAATAGGGCTAGCAGCTACATAATTTTACCTTGTAACAATTAAATAAAATGGTAGGACAGGTCAGAAGACCGTCTAGAATCCCGACACTAGCACAGCTAGAAAACAACACTCGCAACTACTCTAAAACCAACTACACCAACAAAACAAAAACAACTAAAAAGATCCCACCAGGATAATACCCAAACGTCTGATCCCCATAGGAAATAAGATGACGCTTGGGCTCACAGGGGCGCACTGGGGCCAACGGCCCAAACCTAGAACACAAGAACAAACACAAACACAAACATAAACATCACAAAACGTTAACGACAAAATAAACAAAACAACTATGAACTAAAACACAGCCCTCCATCAGCAGAGACGTCCGAGATTGTACAACAGACAAAGCCGACTTCGAGGAAAGATCCAAAGCACAAGAACTCCACCCGCCACTGTCTAATGCCTAGCAAAGACAAGACCCAAGCCTTAAAACAGTCCAAATAAATCGACCCGCTCTCCAACCGCCAGAAACCACAATCGACCCCCAACTGGCTAACACCACTAGCCAAGTCCGGTACCATCCCGAAACTGCCTAACACCACTAGCCAATTCTGGACACGGTCGGCTTTCCTCAGACTCAGAAAGAGCAAAAGGGATGAAGGGTTCGAATGGCATCGAGGCCCTGCTCAATCACAACCCGAAAAAGTGACCATCTCCTCCCAACCCGACACACGAGGTCAGAACCCGCCTCAACCGCCCCACAGCGCCGAAACCGGCAAGAACACGAGAATCGAGACCGGCGACCACAAGGCTAGGCCAGAAAAAAGAGAAATCGCCCCTACCTGAGTTGAGATTGAAACATGAATGATGTAATTGAACATCGATTTGATCGGTTTTTTATTGAGTTTTTTTCAAAAAATGTCGTATAGTTAGTTGTCAATAGATATATTAAAATAATATTTAAAATAAAAAAATTACAATTGATTTGATGGAAAAATTTGATAAAGATGATATTAAGGGATAATTAGTTAAAATTATGTGAGTGGTAGGATACTGAAATAAAGTTGACGTGATTCGCAAGAGTAAGCATGATTGATTAGTATTATTTAATTATGAGAATAAAGTTGAATAATGAGACTGAGTTAAATTTAAGTTTTGATTGATTTTTTTATTGAATTTATATTCAATCACACCCGAAATAAATGCAGGTTTTGAGGGTTTCACTCTTTTACCGTTCACAAGCGAAGTCAATTTAATTATATTAAGCATTACATAAAGTTTAGATTTACTAATATAAAAAAATATAATAAATTATTGTTTAATACAAAAAATTAGTTGTACACAACATTACAAATATGTCGACCAGTCCTCTCAACATAAAAATATCTATATATTTTTATTGGTTATTTTAAATTATTAGTATTGGTTATGATAAAAATCTTCAGTTACCAGTAAATTAAATATTAAACTAATATATTATAAGACACACAACATAATAAAGTAATTTACAACAAAATTGTTAAGTTACATTTAAAAAATCAATATTGTACATATCATTACTATTATATGTAACATCTTTGTCTTTATATGAATTTTTTCTTTCAAGTTAGCATTTATAAGATTTTATTGTTTTTTTCTAAAAAATTTCAAAAAATGTATTCAACCAAAGATATACTTGATATTTATATTTATATTTTTTATTTTTAAAAGCATTTAGTGCAAAAATAATAGTTGTCGTTCAATAAAATGTTGACATAGTATATTCGGACCATATCGTATTATTGGTATGAGAAAACTCATTTCAAAGATGTTAATATAAAATATACAAATTAGTTATTATATATATATATATATATATACATACATGTATTAATCTATCTTATGTATTAATTTTTAAAGTATTTTAAATTTATAATATTAGATGATTTAAAATATAATATTTCTATCTTTATTATTTTTAATTAGTATGCATTTATATATTTTTTAATTTAACATCATAATAACATTTGAAATGTAAATATAATTTATTTAAATCGAAACATAATATTTTTTAAATATTTATCAATATTCTTTTTCTGTTAATACTTAATTTTCGCATTTTTTTCTAGACCTATAAGAACAATATGGTAAAGTGATTGTGTTGATGGTAGGATCCGATTAACAGTTAATAAAGAATTAATGAGTAATAAAAATAATAAGAGAATCGAGATTTACGAGATAAACGGATTTTATTACTTAATTACAAGGTCGGACTCTGATATTGAGGTCGGCATTTTAGTTACACTTTGAGTATTCACGAGAAATTATTACAGAGGAGGAGAAGTAATTGTAGAGAGAGAGAGTTGGTGCAAGGTTCAACAACCTCTGGTAAATGAGGGTAAAACTCTATTTATAGTTGCCTTCATATGGTACTGTTCACATACTGTTCATCTTGTCTCGTCGCACAGTAGCATTGAGTGACAGGTCAGCGCCGCTCTGGCAGACATTAAATGCGATTTGAGGTTGTTCCAATGATGATCTGTCAGGCACTAAATGCACACATGTGGGGCATTTAATGCTGACATGCCACCCTACTAGCCTAGATGCTTTAGGGTGGCTGGTTAGGATATTATGTCCCATCAGCAATCATCGTTTGACAAGTGACAATATTTTATCATTTCCTGGTCGTGCATCCATCCAGAAGCCGGTTTCGTGGAATCTTTAGGTCAGACATTCACCATTATTTTATCCCTTGGTCTTTGGAATCTTGTTCCTCAGTTCGGCGTCTACGGAGGTCGGCCTCCCCGCTGAACTGTCAAGTTGCCGACCTCATGGATCGTATAGCTTATCATCCTCGTCAACTTTGTTTCCGGGTCAGCTCGGCATTTCTAAATTACTCAAACTTCAGTCTGGGTTTTGAGGTCGTCTTCTTCCAGTCCTGGTCTCCGAACCGGGTCATCTACATCGACCCAACTCGGATATCAACAGATTGTCTTATGGTATACTAATAACTTGCTTATTCATTTTACAAAACTAACTTAAATATTATATTTGATATCTCTCGATTTGATTTGATAAATAAAATTTAATTTTGTTGATGAAGACAAATGATTATCAAATCGAAAATTATTAAAAGATGATTAAATTGTTATTTATTATATATGAAACATGAAAAAAACTAAGTATTAAGTTTTATGGTAAACCTCAAACCTAATGTTATAGTCAGGTTTGTACCTATGTCACTGCGAATTACAAATAAATTTTTCAAGCGCGTGAGTTTGTGAATTAGAATAAACTAAACTATTTATTAATAATCTATATATATATAATTGCTGGCAAACTTCAGTAAATTTTATTCAACTAATAAAAATAGAACTTCATTTAATAAAAATCTTTATGACAATAAATTTTATTCAGTCAGCAATTAATAAAAATAGAACTTCATTTAATAAAAATTCTTATGATCAACATTCAAATGACAGTTACACAAGTAAAACCTTATTATCATTAATTTTTTATTCTATAACAGTTTTACAACAACAACAACATACCCAATATATTCTATAACAGTTTTACAATATTTTTAAATTTTCTGAATATACAATATTAAATTATTTTACAACTAATATTCCTATTATGTTTTATAGTTATACAAAAAAAAATTTATATGAATGTTAAATAATTTATATTATATTATACATTTACATAAATTCAAAATTTTAAATTGTAATACACTTTATGTAATTTAAATCTTTAAATATCATATACGTATATATAATATATAAATTTCTTTTTTCTCTGTGCACACAAGATCGAATACTAGTATACGAGAATAGTGGGGATATAGGGGGGATTTTAAAAATGTTTTAAGATGACACACAGCCATTTCCGGAAAAACGTGATGATTGCCCTGAAAACACCAAATTCAGCAAACTCGTGACTCAACGTATGACAATATAGCAAAACCTTCACTTTTTCTGCACTTTTCTCTTCACGTCCATCTTTCCCACCAAATCTGAAATATCTCTCTCATATCATGCTTGCCGCATCCATAATTCTCAACCTTTTCCTATAGTTTCAATTTTCCGGTTATGGGTTGATTGCCCGCCATCTTATTAACAATCTCCAAAATCATATTTAGGCCATACATTTTTCTCTTTTTTCTTTATTTTGTTTGTCATTTTTCCGTTCAATTTCATCCCTGTTTCAGTTTTTTCCCATTTCGAAATGATGATGAAAGGGGCTGGATTTCTAGGGTTTCGCATCATGCCCTAATTCTTGCCCCTTCCAGACTTGCCACTTTCTCTTAATTATTGGTTTTTATTCAATCCTAGATTTAATTTTTGTTGTTAGCTTTCTGGGCCTTTTGATTTTGCTCTCCACTGGAATATTAATTTAGATGGGAAGATTGATTGGGGGAGAAGTGAATTCGAATATTTCATTGGGTTCGCTGCAGCTGAATTTCTTTGGGTGCCCATTTCGATTTGGGTCCGACATTACTTCATTTTCTGTTGCATGTGAAGCTTTCTCCGATCGCCGCCTCCTGTAAATCTAATCGTTGATTGTACAGTGTGCTTTCCCCCTCTTTTTTTTTTTTCCCCTTTTTTTTGGAAAAAAAATTGTATTCCATTTGATATGTATTTTGGGAATAATGAATGCTGGATGGGGAAAAGGGAAAATCAATGTAAAATGGGTACTGCCGAATCTGATGTTGTAGAAATATCTCCGGACGGACGATATATTCGGGTAAATTTCAGTTTTTTCACCCTCCTTAAGCTTTTTAGTTCGTGAAGGATTTGCATTTTGTATGTCGGGTGCAACTCGCTTAGCTCAATCAAAGCTGAAAACTCATGTTTGTTAGCTTTTACATTGCTTGTTAATCTATAGCATCGGGTATGTTTGTTTGATTTGTGACATGTTGCTGAATAGTTTTAATTTGCTGTTATGCATGCTTTCTTTCTAAATTCTAAGTTAAGAATTGGGAATTGTTGGTAGCCAATTTGTTGAATCTCATCCAGGATAAAGCTTGTTTGCATTGACACAAGTGGATGTTAGAACTTCAGGACATGCCCTTGTATGGATAATTTGGTTTAGTGTCAGTGGTTCATTTACATAGAACTCTGAGTTTGTTGTTTCTAAATTTATTATCTCTCTTTCTAATTATATTCCGTGCTGTTTGCTTGATATAAGAAAATATGATATACTGTTGCCACATTACTGAATATAATTGAGCGCTTTTGTTTTTCTTTAATCCTTTCCCCTTTGGTTGCTTTATTCCCTTTTTGTTTTTGTTTCTTCAGTATGAAGAAATCCTGGGAAGAGGAGCATTCAAGAATGTGTATGCTTCCTAGACTACCTTTTTGTTTTTGTTTTGTTTTTTTGCTTTACCATTTGTTTTTCTACGTCAAGTATTAAGCAGATGTGGTAGTTTTCATCTGCTTGCCAAAACTTACTTGTGCTTGTACTCGTGTATAGTTACAAGGGCTTTGATGAAATTGATGGCATAGAAGTTGCTTGGAACCAAGTCAGTATCGAGGATGTGCTGCAATCGCCCGATCATCTGGAGAGATTATATTCCGAGGTTCATCTGTTAAGAACACTGAAACACGAAAACGTCATTAGGTCATATGCATCTTGGGTGGATGATGGCAATAAGACTATCAACATGATAACCGAGCTGTTCACTTCCGGCAGCTTGAGGCAGTGAGTTTTCTTGAATTGCTTGCCTGATTTTCTTTATCGTAGTTTCATATTCATTATTTTATTTAATATTTAAGATTCTCTTTTGTTTCAGCTACCGAAACAAACATAAGAGTGTTGATATGAAAGCTATCAAGAACTGGGCCAGGCAGATCCTTCGAGGGTTAGAATATCTGCACACTCACAATCCTCCTGTCATTCACAGAGATCTGAAATGCGATAATGTATTCGTGAATGGTAATCATGGAGAAGTAAAAATTGGTGATCTTGGATTGGCAACAATAATGCAGCAGCCTACTGCCAGAAGTGTTATCGGTTTGTTCTATTTAAATGTTTCTTGCATACGGCCACTTCTTTTTTTCTCTATCTTCTGAAATTATGCTGTTTTCTCAAAGGTACACCCGAGTTCATGGCTCCTGAACTTTATGAGGAGGAATACAATGAGCTGGTGGATATTTATTCTTTCGGGATGTGTATCCTTGAGTTGGTTACCTGCGAATACCCGTACAGCGAATGCAAAAATCAAGCACAGATATACAAGAAGGTTACCTCCGTAAGTTATACTAACTCATCTTTCCATTGTATTAATGGTGTGCTTGGATACAAATATATCCTCTCAAAACGAGTTTTTTTTGTTAACTAGAGTTAATTTGAAAATGATGTATGGTTAGGTTTTAGTGTGATTTTGAATTTATGTTAAAATAATATTTAAAATAAAAGGATTCAGTTGATTTGATGTAAAAGTAGGAGAGATATAGTGTGAAGTTATGGTTAGTTAAAATTATATGAGTGGATGAATAGTGAATTAAAGTTGATGTGATGTGAAAAAATGATTGATTGATATTATTTAATTATATTGATAATATTGAAGGTAGTGGAGTTGAATTAAAGTTCAGTTAGATTTTGAGTATGGATCGAATATGAATTGAGAAAATTTGTAAACAAACACACACCCTAAGTGCTCATTTGTCAATCTCATAATCTGCAATCTTAACACTTATTTGTAAAAATTAATTAGGGAGTAAAACCGGCTGCTCTGAGTAAAGTAAGGGACCCTGAGTTACGAAGGTTCATAGAAAAATGCCTGCTTCCAGCTCCCCAGAGGCTGAGTGCTGCCGAGCTTCTGAAAGCGACATTTCTCTCTAACGAAAATCCCAAGGATGACACCTGTGATCCCCCTCAACTAACCGATTTCACGCCAAAATCGATAAACTCGTCAAAATCCGATTTCCCTCTCATGGATCTCGACTCTTCTTCCAGAATGCTTCTATCTGGTAGCAGCACGTGGTGCGAAAGCATCACAGAAACTTCCATGTCTACCCTCGAGCTGCATAGGTGCAACGAGAGGAACGAATTTGTTTTGAAAGCTGAAGAATTTGACGGTCGTAAAATAAGTTTGACTTTGAGGATTGCTGACTATTCCGGTACGTAAAATTCCAGTTTCATCCTCAGGGTGTATACAAATATATCCGCTCAAAGCGAGTTTTTTTGGTTAATCATGATTAGTTTTGAAAAAGTTGGTATAGTTAGTTGTTAGTAGGATTTTGAGTTATATTAAACTAATATTTAAAATAAAATAATTTAAGTTGATTTGATGTAAAAATACGAGAGAGATGATGTGAAGTGATGGTTAGTTAAAATTTTGATAATATTGAAGTTGATATGATAATGTAAGAATGATTGGTTGGTATTATTTCATTATATTGATAATATTGAAGACAGTGAGATTGGATTAAAGTTGAGTTAGATTTTGAGTATGAATTGAGTATCAGTCGAAATAATTTATAAACAAACACACCCTCAATGTGCTCCACTAGAAAAAACCCGTATTTGTCTAATATGTTAATGCAATCAAATTAATTATATATATATAACAGGTCGGGTTCGGTACGTGCACTTCCCGTTTTATCTCGATTCGGATACCTCATCTTCAATAGCTTCAGAGATGGTCGAGACACTCGATTTATGGAGGGACGATGTTGCTTTCATAGCCGAGCTTATCAACAGCTTAATCTCACAGTACATTCCCACATGGGCTACACCATGCGGGAGTCTGTGTGGGCCCAAGAAGTTGGAAAACGAGAAGCCTGAAGCGAAAACCGAGCATGGTTTGAAAATCACCAGATTAAACAATAGTAATAATAATAATAATGATAATAACAATAGCTGCAACTATAACTACACTGTTTTGAGCCAGAGCTTGAAGAACTCAGTGAACTCGTTCACTGGCTCGTGGATAACTGCAACGAGCAATATGAGCTTGAGCGTTTCGTCTCTCTCGTTAATGGATAAGGAGAATGAGCTGTCGTCTGATGATTTGAGGGAGGAGCTTGAGCAAATCGATTTGCAGTACCAACAGCGTTGTAGAGAGCTCGAGAGAATGAGAGAGGCTGCTATCGAGAATGCCAAAAAGAAGTGGATAATGAAGAAGACATCCGTGCTTTGATCGTGTGGCGTGAGGCTCGGGAATTTTGTGGGGGTGTTTGAGAAGCTTCGTGTTTTTCGTAACTTTTTTTTTTTACTCT